GGCTTGTTTTACAACGTCGTTGCCAAGCGACGAAAACCCAACCCCGATGGCAAACACCGGGAGGGGGGCGGCTTGTTTTACAACGTCGTTGCCACGCGACGAAAACCCAACCCCGATGGCAAACACCGGACGAGGGGTGTGGGGGTATATATGCCATGATAATTGCGCAGCATCGCGAAGAATTTAATGTCTTGTCTGTTTCTATATTGAATGCGCATGAAACCTTGATTTTCTGGTCTTTCTGGTAGTTGATTAGGACCGAGAATTGGTAGCCGTTGTTGTGTTTGCAGCGGAACCGACAGGCAATCGCCGCCAGTGCACTATGGTTTGTCAAAATTCGTGAATTGATTCCGTGAATGTCAGAGCAGGTTATGCGACTGCATTTTGTTAGTTGACATTTTCTAGTCTTGTTTTCCTTACCCAATGTCACAGGATGCGTTTGCCAAGCGGAGTTTTGATTCCTTGGCACCTGGCGTTCGGAAGAGAGGGTTTTCATATGTTGGTCTGGGTAAGCAGTGGGGAGCCGTGAACACAGAGGGGCTGTTACCAGACATGTATTGGAAGGTCATTTATTTCTTTGAGCAATTGAACAGAGTCGGTATATGTAGGGGAGAGTGCCGTGAGCAGGGGGGCCTATGCTTGAGGCCCTCCATGACTCAGAAATGCGTCATGCTGTCAACCACGCAAGCAGCGTTTGTGGATGTCGTAAGTTGGGAATGAGATTTGTTTTGTGGCAGGTTTGGCGTTTCGTGTTACCGAGGGTAGCTATGCCGTGCGTTTCTTTGTATGAGGACAACCGGGGTGTCATTCAGATCGCATTCAACCTCAAATTCCAATTCGAAGCACATTGATTGACGTTCGGCACCACATGAGAGTAGGTAGAACGAAGGAAATCGAGATTATCCACGAAACGTCTCAGTACCAACATGCTGAATTGCTACAAAGGCCTTGCCTCAGAGGGAGTTTGAGTTTCACCGCGAGATAGTGATGAACTTGGGGTGGTTTCTCTCTCGGATAGTGTTCGATTTTCTGACTTCTATTTGGGTGTGTTTCTTGATTTCTGATTTATACTTTCACCAGGGTTCATAAGAGTTTGGATTCAATATGATCGATGGAAATGCTGAAGAGTATTTTTGGTTTAATGATCATGGATATGTTTGCAGATGAGAGGGATGGAGTTGAGTGTTTTGGACTGCAACATGTTTGCCTTCCAGACTTTTGAAGCAAATACCCGTCAGTATTGGTTTTGGGAATGTATGTTTAACTAGCAGTCCGGTTGAATCATGACAATGCTGAGAGCAGGGGGGCTGTTGGACGTACTCACCCCATTGTCAGATTGCAGACAAGAATCTGTCGAAAAGATGGAACGAAGAATTTCGGGGGTTTCGTGTTTGTATTGGATTTGGTATAGCGGTACCATCTTTGCCGCATAATTCTGTTTTCTGGGTATGCCTCTGCAACGCTCTGTTGTGGGTTTTTGTGTGTTCAGACGACGAGGACGATAATCAATCCTTTTCCGGCTATCACGCCAAGGGCTACCACGCCCATGTACATACTACCAGGCTATCACGCTTAGGGCTATCACGCCCCGATGAAGAAGGTTTACGGGCTATCACGCCTGGGGTTATCACACCCGAGCTATCACGCTCCACAAGGAACGAGAGTGTAGGGCGGGTTATCACACCCGCGGGTAGAGGATTCATGTTGCCGTCACGGGCTTTCACGCCTACGGCTGTTTGTTTACACCAAGGGGAGCGCCAGACGCACGGACCTACCCAACACCGCAAGACACCCCCGCGGCGCGCGAAACCGGCCGCTCTCACCTCCTACCAGGCGCCATTCTTCTTCCCCTGATATGTGTTTGACTTTGTAGGTCTCTCTGTTTTCTTGGCGTTTGGTCATACACGTGGGCATTTACTCGGGAATCGCGTTTCCCGAGTATTGATGTTTGTTCACCCGCACGCCCATGAAACGTCCCCGCACCACCGAAGACCGGCGGCTTTCGCCTCCTTATGTGTCTGAGCGACTTGCTGGGAGCTAGTTGGTTATTTTCAGAGCTTCACTCTGTCTGTTTGTCCTGTTCGTTCCTTCATTTACCTTTGTCAAAAATTCAAAATTTTTAATATGGGCTCTTTGGCCGGTAGCTTATATGCACCGGCTCCCCGCTTCAAGTGCGAACTTCGCCGTGACGCACGTACCACACACCCGGAGAGCACATACCGCATGGGAAGGGGCTGTGGGTGCTCCGTTTGGCGTTGATTCTTGGCGAGGCTCGTCTCCATGTGCAGCAGAGTCATTTCGGCACACCTCGGGGCGTTTTGGCAGCACCGTCTGCCCGGCGGGTGATAGCACCTACACGCAATAAATCTAATTAATTTTGTGCCTGTTTGTGGTGCACATTTCCGCCGTGCGGTGGAGCCTGCCTTTCAAAGTCGACAGGAGTGTTTCCCTGGCCTGTGCGCATCCGCGCCCCAATCTATACTGTTAGTACATGTTTTGGTGGCATTAAGACTGGCGGCTCCACGTCCACACTGTCACGCACAGATCAATCTAGAACAAAACCTTCACAGTGGGCTCATTTCCCTCCAACAAACGCCGTATCTCCGATACAACAATGTCCATTCTACGAGAGAACTCCGCCTTTCGGGCCGTAACCACCCACTCCCCATTTATCGAACTCCTTATTACACAAGGGGGGAAGTTCTCATACCCATGCGTGTGAATCCGAACGACGATGTGATTGACCGCATCCGTCCCCGCGTGAAGTCGCATCAAGCGGTTACGATGGTCTTCGTGTGTCGCTTTTTCGTCTACCTCAACGTGCAGCAAGGTTGATCCAATCTGCCACAACATATCAGCTCTCTCTGTTGATATGGCACAAGGCAGCGGGCAATCCCACGAGAGAAATTTTTCTCTAGCTCAGGCATACGTCTCTGAATTTCGGCCAATACTAAGTGTTCCGTCCTGACTTTGAACTTCTTCGCCACCCCGGGGTGTTCGTTGCGTAGACAGTGTCCACAGTAGCGCACACTTCCCACGTTGTAGACCCCCGGAGCTCTCCCGATCATGTCATATACAAGGCAAGCGGTTGACTCGCATCTTTTGGACGTCACAGTTGCGTATCCCTCCACCCTATGCGCGGCACAGGAGAGGGGCTTGCCCCACTCCTTCCCGAACGTTGGGTGTTTTTGACACCCAGGGGCCTCGCACCGCTTGTTCCAGACGTCCACGTATCCCTCCATCCTATGCGCGGCACAGGAGAGCGCCTTTTCCCCCCTCCTTCCCGAACGTTGGCTGTTTTTGGCACCCAGGGGCCTCGCACCGCTTGTTACAGACGTCCACGTATCCCTCCGTCCTGTGCGCGCCACAGGAGAGCGCCTTACCCCCCTCCAGTCCGAAAAGCGGGTGTTTCTGGCACCCAGGGGCCTCGCACCGCTTGTTATAGACGTCCACGTATCCCTCCATCCTATGCGCGGCACAGGAGAGCGCCTTTTCCCCCCTCCTTCCCGAACGTTGGCTGTTTTTGGCACCCAGGGGCCTCGCACCGCTTGTTACAGACGTCCACGTATCCCTCCGTCCTGTGCGCGCCACAGGAGAGCGCCTTACCCCCCTCCAGTCCGAAAAGCGGGTGTTTCTGGCACCCAGGGGCCTCGCACCGCTTGTTATAGACGTCCACGTATCCCTCCATCCTATGCGCGGCACAGGAGAGCGCCTTTTCCCCCCTCCTTCCCGAACGTTGGCTGTTTTTGGCACCCAGGGGCCTCGCACCGCTTGTTATAGACGTTTATGTATCCCTCCATCCTGTGCGCGCCACAGGAGAGCGCCTTACCCCCCTCCAGCCCGAAAAGCGGGTGTTTCTGGCACCCAGGGGCCTCGCACCGCTTATTACAGACGTCCACGTATCCCTCCATCCTGTGCGTGCCACAGGAGAGGGGCTTACCCCACTCCAGTCCGAAACCTGGGAATTTCTGGCACCCAGGGGCCTCGCACCGCTTATTACAGACGTTTATGTATCCCTCCATCCTGTGCGCGCAACAAGAGAGGGGCTTACACCACTCCAGTCCGAAACCTGGGAATTTCTGGCACCCAGGGGCCTCGCACCGCTTATTACAGACGTTTATGTATCCCTCCATCCTGTGCGCGCAACAAGAGAGGGGCTTACACCACTCCAGTCCGAAACCTGGGCATTTCTGGCACCCAGGGGCCTCGCTCCGCTTATTACAGACGTTTACGTATTCCTCCAGCCTGTGCGTGCCACAGGAGAGGCGCTTACCCCCCTCCAGTCCGAAACCTGGGAATTTCTGGCATCCAGGGGCCTCGCACCGCTTATTACAGACGTTTATGTATCCCTCCATCCTATGCACGGCACACGAGAGGGGCTTACCCCTCTGCAGCCCGAATTTTGGCCGTTTCTGGCACCCAGGGGCCTCGCATCGCTTGTGACAGACGTCTACATCTCCTTCCCTGCGATGAGAGGTACAGAAGTAAGGATTGCGATACTCTTTTCCATAGGATGCTCTCTTTGTGCACGTGCCAAACCGACACTTCGGCATTCTTTGTAGTTGATCACCATAAAACCATAAAATAATGGTCGGTGTGGGGATGTGAAACATGACAAGTCTCGACGATCCACATTTTACGCCTGTTATGTGTGTAGGTTTTTATGTCTGCAAAAATGGCGGTCAAATTCGAAGAGTGTGACGCGCTGTACCCGCCGTTCCGGGTCAAATCGCACCCACGGGGGCCCCCTGTCCTCTACTTTTTGCCGCCGCACGTGCTGCGATGTACACCGTTCGTCCCCAGACCTCTGTGAAGGCATTTGGGCTACTGTATATATCTCAGCACCATGATCGACGTTCGCCTTGAAATTCGGCACACGGGTGCCCCTGGCCTACAGCCACACGCTCACGAATTTTCAATCGAATTGGCGGCGATTTCGAATTTTCATAGCCCAAAATCCGATTTTTTTAAGCGATGACGTATGTGTTGAAGTTGGGGCATTTTCGTTACATATCTCCGCGCCATGTTGGCGGTCGGCCTTGAAACGTACACGGGTGCCCCTGGCCTACAGACATACGCTCACGAAATTTGAATCAAATCGGCGCCCGTTTCGATTTTTAACGACCCCAAAACTCTAAAGCGATGACGCACGTAAAATCTGCAGCCCCCTGTGTCCGCCCGCCCGTGTCCAATCGCATCCATGGTGCCCCTCCCCTCTACCCCGCCCAGCCACGCGCCCAGTGTTTACTGTTCGCTCCCAAGCCTTGCCCACACGAGTCTTGTAGGCATGCCGCGATGCCTATCCATCCCCCCCTGCCCGCACCGCAACGCCTTGAAACGTATGCACGTTTTGCCCCCTGCCCCGTTGCACACTACATCCTAGCGATGCCATGACACAACAGCCTTCATCGCCTCGGGAAACGCCTCGTCAAGCAGTATCGCGGGCCCACCCTCTGAAGACTGAAGATCGTAGAACATGTAGTGTATGGACTCTTGGTTTTCGGGCGCGAAGTCACGGGAACAGACCCTGGCCAGATGTTCTTTCAGCGCTTCCTCGCGTTGAGCCCGTGGCATCTTAATTTTCTCCGATCCGACCATGTACGTTCCCGTAGGGGCGTAGCGAATCCAGTAGATTGGGAGAATGTACCCAGCTAGAGCCAGCGCCGCTCGAACGTCCGCCATCCGACTCATCTCACACGACAGATTGTACCAAAAATGCTGGTCCTCGTCGCACTCAACAATGCACATGGCGTTGACACATTCCAGGACCCGAAAATCGAGTCTCGAGAAGTGCCGCTGTGTGTCCGGCAAGCACTGCCCAGATTTAGCATTGATGGTTGTCTCGCAGTCCACTGTGTAGCCCCACTCCTTGAGTAGCGTGTTCAGACGGTGCTCTTGCTGCTTGCGGCGAATCTGACCCTCGATGGTGTGGTGGCTTTTGATTTGGCCTCGCAAATTTGAACGTTGCGAGCACGCATACTCACACCCCTCGAAGTCGCACACGTAAGGCTTCTCATCCGAGTGCTTCGCCAGGTGTACTGTCATTTCGCTTTTCGTAAGTGCCCTGTATGGGCACGTATCACATGAAAACGTTTTGTCACCTCGGTGCCTTCTCGTGTGTAGCTCCATGTGGTCAGGACGCCGAGTTGTGTAAGGGCATCCATCAACATCGCACGCTAGTAGTGGTCGTACTTTTTTGGTCACAAGGACACCTGGGTGAAGAGCCTTGTGGTGCCGATTGAGTGCACTCGACTGCGTGAATGCCCGTTTGCATTGCCCACACACGTGACGTTTTTCACTTGTGTGTGTCATCTCATGTATTTTGAGGGTGCCAGGGGTGTAGGCCTTGTACGGGCAGCCGTCCAAATAACACGAAGACGGACGTATGCCCTGGTGCCGAAGCTCGTGTAGTTTCATGAGGCAAGGGATGTCGGCCGTGTAATGACATCCATCACGGGGACACGACAGCTTATTTCGTTTCGCCTGATGTGTGTCATCCATCACTCTTGCTGTCAGAAACGTGCGCCGGCTCCTACTTGTGTCGCAACATTTTTTGTTAGCTTCGCCTGACACACCCATACTGAACTATCTGTTTTCGCCAATATACACACGTAACTCTATTTGAACGCACACGGAGCGGGGAAATCACAGCAACCCGTTTTGGCGCGGTGCATGATAAGTCTAGATTTTTGTAGCCGGCGTGAATGAATTTATTTGTAGACTGCGTTCGCTCGAGGGGGCGCGTTGCAACTGCCAACAAACCAATAGAAGATATATGATGTTTTTGACAGTGAAACAAGATGACGCCAAAAGTGAGAAGATGAATATGACCTCCCCTGAGACTGAACTCTTGCGGATCGAGTTGGGTGCATGCTTTTTCTTTTTTTTTCACCCCCCCCTTTACGGCGGCTCTTCCACATGGCCTCCAACCGCTTGGGGGACATTGAAGTCCTGCACTGCAAATAGGAGCAGATGCCAAGATCACTGCCTGATACTTCTTTCGGCATGTGGCGAAAACAATATTATAGACTCAAGAGGAGAGAGTTCCTCGCCAGGTAATGGGAAATTCAAGAAAGCCGACGCGCCTATGAAAGAAACCAACGCACCTGTGAAACAACCTCCGGTGATTACGACAAATTCAAATATATATAACACGAAAGAACTCAAATTACCCGACAACAAGCATACCAGCGCCAGCCCCCAATACTTCTAGTATTATGAAGCGATCTCCTCCACGAGCCCTACTGCCATTAATCATCCTGGTATGCTTCGCGATTGTTGAAGGGCTTCATCTAAAGCCAGGTAAAAGGTTTTCAGTGGAGGGTGTTCTGGGGTTTCATCTCAGCCAGGTCTTTTACCAAAAAAGAATTGAAACAAAAATCAGAAAAGATAGGCCGGAGCTGGAAAGTCGAATTCGAGGATGAGAGAAGAGTCTCGGCGAGCACGTCTGCACGCCGAGGCTCGTCCGAAGACAAGACGACGCCAACTTTTAAGTACCAGGGTTAAGGGGGGTTCGGTTCTCTGTCGATTCCCAGACTCACGTGTAGATGATAGTTTCCTTGATTGCTTCACAGATTGATGGTTCCAACCGAGAGTGGGGCTATTTGCCCGGGAGATCTAAGTGGCCCCGTGCATCATAATGGCTCTTCCTACAATGATACCCTGGATCTAGCTAATACTAAGGCTAAACTAGGGGTACACAATGTACTAATTCCCTATCCGTAGGGGGGGGTGTACCTCACACCATAACAAGACGAAGCCCACAACACCACCGACCCCTCAACAGACACCGAGCCAGCAAGCACGTTCAGGGGAGGCGAGAACCAGGGTACCAGCATCTACTCTTCGACAGGTAATAGTTCGGTGCTAGCGCACGCTCCAATTGTAGGGTTGGGGTAGAATCAAGCCTAGCTCTGCACTCGTGTGGTTTATCTGCACATTTTGACCCGAACTAGTTTTTTCTGGCGCCTAGAGGGTCATCAATTTTCTTTGGCGAGGGCCAAAAAAGCCGCCGCGCTCGTGTTTTATGTGGACTGGAGTATGCTCCTTCGCACATTGAAGCTCTGCGTGTTCAAAGTCGATTGGCGGGGGAGGACCAATTATCGTGGTCTCCGGTCTCCGGACTCTACAACCTGCGAAAAGATGCTTTGTTGTAGACGATTCTGATGTTTCACCGTAGGAAGATCCCTTCGAACTCTCAGTGAAGCCTACTAGCTCGGCGGATCCGCCCAAAACTGCTCGTACATTTTACGTCGGATACTAAAATTGTGTCTGGATGGCAATCATGACAGATGGACATCGCCGAGGAATCAGGATTCGCCCCCATGGCGCTCGCCCCTCAGTCCTTGCAATCCGCATCACTGAGAACAAACATAGTCTAGTAGACTTTAATTTCGCGTGTTCCTATCGAACGAACCTCCGAGAGATCACTAGACTAGGCTAGATTAGCTTGATGTTTAATACAGTTTACATTTGCAAAGCATTCACAACACCCGGCGGTGGTTTCCCCCCTAAGGTCTTGTTTGTTGTCTTGTGAAAACATTGCCGCCTCACTTTGCCTCACGGAGGACGCGCCCGGGGGGCGACCTTCAACCGTCGAACCATTCTTGCCCAGGGGGACGAGCGAAAAGGATACCGCAACTGACTCATACCATGTGAACTATTTCCCCACCACTCCAAGAATACCCCGAAACCCCTCTCCGTGCGCTCTCTCTGCGCAGTGGGGATGGGTTGCTTCAACACTATGTGCCGTCTCCAAGCGGGTCTTCTCCTGCTGCCGGCATTCGGTCAAGGCCAAGCGCTACTGCCTTGCAGCGCCGGTACGAGCCGCTCCACCGTAACGAGTACCGCAGGTGCTGCCTCTCTGGCAAGCTCCCTCGAGTGCTCGAATGGCGACTTTGCCGTGGAGTGGGACGGAGAGGTGGTTGTTGCCCGAACCATCCATGTTTTTGAAGGCACGTCCCTCACCATCACAGGGGCCGCCGGAAGAGGGAGTGGGATCATGGACGGGAATCATGAAACACAGCTCATCTCCCTCGGCGGGGGCTCGACCTTGTACTTGACGAACATGACCCTCGCCAACGCCAACTCATCCTCCAACGGCGGGGCTATATACGTCGGAGAGAGGTCAAGGGTCGTGCTGACCGGGAGCAACTCTTTCACAGCAAACTCCGCCACCACCCTCGGAGGGGCGATGATGGTGGAAGAATCCTCGGAAGTAACGTGGGATAGCGGGGAAGCGTTTTTTATGGACAACCTCGCGACCAATGCAGGGGGCGCCATTTTCGTAGACGATGGCTCGACCATCTCGTGGACGGGTGCCTCGACCTTCACCGGGAACACCGCTGTCCACGGGGGTGCCGTGCTGGCGCGCAACGCTTCGGTGCTCTGGAACTCTTCGAGTACTATGTTTAGCCGTAACGAGGCGTCGAATTTCGGCGGCGCCATCGTAGCTGATGTTTCGTCGGAGCTATCGTGGGACGGGAACACGTGGTTGCTCGACAACGAGGCCACCAACTACGGCGGTGCGGTGTACGTGAAAGACTTGTCCAATGTATCGTGGGGCGGCGACACCACCGTTTCCGGAAATTCCGTCCTCGTAAACGGAGGTGGGATCATGGCGGATGAGTCATCCCGGCTGTCGTGGGGTGGAAACACGGTGCTGTCGAACAACAGCGCCGTCGGCTGGGGCGGCGCGGTGTACGTCAAAAATTCGTCGAGTATATCGTGGAGCGGCAACACCACCATCTGCCACAACTCCGCCCAGGACGGGGGAGGGATAATGATGTACGACGGGGTTACCGGATCTTGGACCGGTGAGACGACCTTCGAGCACAACACCGCGCTCTGGACCGCAGGCGCCTTGACTGTCCACACGTCTTCTAGAGCCTCCTGGACCGGTACGACGGCGTTCGAGCATAACACCGCCGACAGGGGAGGCGCGATGTTCGTGTGGGCATCGGAGGTTTTGTGGAGCGCCGGCAACACCACGTTCGCGCACAACCTCGCCTACGACGACGGCGGCGCGCTCTACGCCACCCTCGACCACCGGATCGAGTGCAGCGGCGGCCGTACAACCTTCTGGAACAACACGGCTGCCGCGGGCGACGGCGGCGCCCTAGGCCTGTACGGATCGATGGCCCTCTCTTCGTCGGTCGTCAACATCTCCGGAGATGTAACGTTCACCAACAACTCGGCGTTCGGGAACGGTGGGGGTGTTTTCTCGTCCGCGAACACGGCTGGCCAGTACTTCGAGGGCGTGACGTTTCAGTACAACTCGGCGGCCGTCGGCGGCGCGGTCGCGACGTACGGCACCGGCAACGGGGACGAGGTCACCCCGGTACCGGCGAGCTTCGTGGGGTGTCGGTTCATGAGCAATGCCGCCACAGAGACGGGTGGCGGCGTGGAGTCTGCCTTTGGCCAGGAGAATTTCGTTTCTTCGCACTTCCAGGACAACTATGCAGGTTTGTGTGTATGTGTGTGTTGCGGCTCGACGAGTGTCCATCTGTTTCTCCGTTTTTGTCTTGTTGTTACTTCCCATTGGTGGACTCTATCGTCTTGCCCTACTGGCCCTCTTCCTCCACTACGAAGCTAGACGATCCCACCGGGGTCACACGGGATGCGGGGCTGAACCTCCTCCAGCTGTGCGTGCCGGGTATGTTTTCGTCGCGAGCAGGGTGCAACACGCTCTCTATATCTCCGTACGGTTATTACTCTTTCATGGCATCAGTATGCTTTTGAAGACGTACCCTACACTTTCTCTGCCTTTTGAAGCAGCACATGGTGTCTCCTCGAGAGCGTTGCGTCCACTACTGTTTGATTGTTGTTGTTCGCCCTGCGTTGCTTTTTCGACACTCCCCATCGTCCAACCAGACGTGGGTGGAGCGCTGCAGCTCGGAGGCAAAACCAACGTGGACGGCTGCGCATTTGTCGCCAACTCCGCGTCGAGCCGCGGTCTCGCTATCGCCGCCGTCGGCTTCGTGAACATCAGCGACACCTTGTTCGAAGGCAACACCTTCTTCTGCCAAGCGGGAGAGTTTGTTGAAAACAAGGAGCAGGTAAGAGGCATGGACGCCTGCTTGCGGTCTCGCCTTGCTGATGACAGGTTGTTAGATGTCGTACGTGCTTCCTGCCCGAGGGTCCTTTGCGACAACCTTGAACCAAGGGGGCGCATGAAGCCGAAAACCTCATCAACGCGCCGACACCGGCCGGAAGAAGCTTCAACCTCGACGGCGGCTGGGTGTGTTTTGTGCACGACCAGGCCTTTCTGACGATCGATGCGGTGAAAACTGTACACCCGCCGTCAAACCGCCAAACCTACCCGTTCGTGTGAACATATTCTCGGAGCAGAGGCAGGCAGAATACCTCTTCCCCCGTATCCCTTGATCTCCTTTTCCAGGAGGAAGGCGACTCCGGGCGCTACGATACGGTGTGTTTCGACTGCCCGGAACGGAGCGAGTGCTACAGTTGCTCCGTCCAAGAGGCCGCCGGCCGGCCGACATGCTCCGTCGCGCTGGACAACACCGTCTCCGAGGAAGCCGGCGTCTCGCTGGAGACGCTGAGCATGTCTCGAGGCTACTGGCGCGCGTCCAACTCGAGCTTGATAATTCTCGCATGCTACAACCCGGAGGCTTGTCTCGGAGGGCAGACGGGGGTTGATAACTCTTGCGACAATGGGTACCAAGGGCCATGTGAGTTGCGGCGGACGAGAAATCGAGTGGGATGTACGAGTATAGCTACAACCGAGGTAGAAAGAAACAAAGACTGCGAGTAGGTCTTGGGCGCACGTTGCTAGCTCAGTGGTTTGGGGCGTGCTGGAAAAGAACGGTTGGGTGACGCACGTCCTCGTGTTGCTCCGCCGATGTATGACGAAGGTCGCGCATCGTTTTTCCACGGAGGATTTCCTCCAGAATTGATGCTCAACATGCGTTTTTATCGTATTCTGTGCTAGATGTTCTGTGCCAGATGTTCGCTCTCCGAACAAAGCGTAGCCAGAATAGGACGGCTAGCCGTCCTCGTTCCTGTTATTTTAGCAGTGGCCGACCGTCTCTCGTGGACTGTTCTCCTTCAGTTCTCAGATGATATCCGCGGAATGCATCAGACTGAGGTTCGTGGCCCGCGCCCAAATCGCCTTTCGTTTGCTCGCTGCCTAGATTGTGCTGTGTGCGAATCAGGGTATGCTTCGTCCCTGGCTCATACGTGCACCCAGTGCTCCAGTTCAAGGCGCAACGGGTTTGTGGTGGCGGCGGCGATCGCGGTAGTAGCTGCTGTCTGCGCTATAGTGGCGATTTGCGCGCATTTGATCTCTGGGGAAGTCAGCGAGCAGAGCTGCCTTCATCGGAGACTGTCTGCAATGCTTCCGCTGCAGTCCTTCAAAATCATCATCGTGGTGTGGCAGATTCTGACCCAGGTAGATGGCTTTTCATCCTGAGTAGTTGTTTTCGAATTTCATGGCCATGATAAAGTCTCTGCTATATCAGATTCAGACACATCGGGCACAGCCCATGGAATCGAGCCTGCAGGAGTCAAGTCTCTTTCGTTTGTAGACTAGAATTGATGCGCGAAGATTTCATTTGATCGACAGCGTACAGCAGTTTGCAATCCTTCATCGACAATGCTTTAGCTCGTACTTCGTCTGACGCAACGATCTGTCCGTCCCTCCTCGCTACAGTTCGCATCCGCCGCGAACATATCGTTTCCGGACGTCTACCAAGACTTCATCAACGCGCTCGACGTGGTCAACTTCGACCTCGGCTCTCTGGTTGCTTCCGGGTGCTGGGCGGACATCAACGTCGACTTCCACGACCGGCTGCTCGTCAGCACTCTCGGGCCGTTGCTCGTGGTCGGGGGTCTAGCTTCGACCTACGCGGTAGCGCAGCGAAGGAACTCCTCGGCCTCCGGCGGCTCTCAAGCAGGCGTGGAGGCCATCCGCCACAAGCACCTCTCCGCTTTCCTCCTGGTGACCTTCCTGGTGTACTCGTCGGTGTCGGCGACGGTCTTCCAGATGTTTGCGTGCGACAAGCTCGACGACGGGCACACGTACCTCCGGGCCGACTACCGGATCCTCTGCACGAGCGCCAAGCACGAGGCGCTCCAGGTGTACGCGGCGTTCATGATCGCCCTTTATCCCGTGGGGATCCCGCTTCTGTATGCCTACCTCTTGCACCACCGGCGTGACGTGCTGATGGACCCTACGGCAGACAAGGCGTCTGCCCAGTCCACCGCCGACCTGTGGGAGCCGTATAGACCAGAGCGGTTCTATTATGAGGTCATCGAGTGCGGGCGCCGGGTCTTATTGACCGGTGTCGTTGTCTTCATCTACCCGAACACTGCGGCTCAGGTCGCGGTGACCATACTGATCGCGTTCTTCTTCCTTATGGTGTACGAGATGCTGGCGCCGTACCGGTCGGACTCGGACATGTGGCTTTCTCGCGGGGGCCACGTGATTGTCTTCCTCAGCATGTTCGACGTGCTCCTCTTGAAGGTGGACGTGTCGGACGAGAGAACCGAGAGCCAGAGGGTGTTTGCTGGCGTGATTGTCGCTGGCCATTGCCTGATGTTTCTCGCCGTCATAGTTGAGGCGGTCGGGGTGTGTTACGCCTCCAGCAAGGGACAACCGGTTTCGGAGCACTCGGTCCCATCTCGGAGAACTTTCGGGCCCGCGGCTCAGCGTTCGCGTTCGACTCGGGCGCTAGAAACGGCAGAAGACGAGGAGTGTCTGCCTGCTGAAGCCCCTCTCGGGTCGTGGAAGTCGTTCGTGGGGCTGGACGCGGCGTTGGAAGAGTCCTAGCCAGTAGGTCCAAGGGCTTGTGAGCTCCTCTGTTCCTCTCGTGTGATGAATATGTTGCGCACTCCGAACTCGGGTGCTGGTTTTGGCCGATTGATTGCTCAGGCACAAACAGCAAGGTTGTTTGGGTTGCTGCCTTCATTTTCAAGTTGTATTTGTTCGGTGACTGTGTTTATGGCCTGTATGCGAAAGGCTGAAAACTGAAATTTGACGCAACAGGTGAAGGGGGCAGTTATCAAAGCCTAAATGTCTTTTTTCGCCTTTTGGGCTCCTCTGCCCTCGAAGTAGGTACCTTGTGCCGTTCCTCGTGTGCACCTCTTTCTAAGCGATTGAAATGACAAACCGTGCAAATACCCACGTTCCTCGAGGACGGGTCCTACCGAAAGCTATCTAGCATGTTGACGAAACTTGGACAAGGTTGGAGCAACTGGGGTTGTCCAGGTTCCTCGTTTATTTCTTGCGGTGTCCTCCCCCTCGGTCAAAGTCCAGTAGGGTGGTCACACCCAGAAATTGGCCACGTTGTAGCAGCGGTAGTCCCATAAGAGCATCACTTCACGAGGCAATCATTGGGTGTTTCGACAATTGGCCATGTTAGCAAAATGGCCCCTTTGCGAAGTGGGCGGAATTTGCTAAGTGTTTTCTTCGATCATTCAAAAATATTCTGGAGCAAACTCGTTTTGCCAGCTCAGGTATCAGCTCGTCCAAGCCATAGGCATTTCAGTACTACCGGCTGATATCAACACTCCACACCAAAATATCGCAACTTCGGTGTCCTCCGCCTCGGTCAAAGTCCAGTAGGATGGTCACACCCAGAAAGTGGCCACGTTGGAGTATAGCAGTAGTCCCATACGAGCATCTTCACGAGGCAACCATTGCGTATTTCGAAAATTGGCCATGTTGGCAAAATGGCCCCTTGAGAAGTGGGCGGTAGTCTACATGCAAAGCGGATTTTCCTCGATCATGGAAAATATCCTGGAGCAAAATCGTTTGACCAGCTCAGATATCCACTCGACCACGCCGGGGACGTTTCAGGACTAACACCCGACATCAACACCCAACCGGCAAAAAACGAATACAGTGTCCTCCGCATCGGCCAAAGTCCAGTAGGGTGATCACACCTAGATATTGGCCACGTTGTAGCATAGTGGTAGTTCCATACGACTATCACTTCACGAGGCGACTCTTACGTGTTTCGAAAATTGGCCATGTCAGCCAAATGGCCCCTTTGAAAAGTGGGCGGATTTTCCAAAGCGGATTTCCCTCGATCATGGGAAAATATCCTGGAGAAAATTCGTTTGACCAGCTCAGATATCCACTCGACCATGCCGTGAACGTTTCAGTACTACCCCCTGACATAAACATCCAACCGACAAAACACAAATGCAGTGTCCTCCGCCTCTGTCAAAGTCCAGTAGGATGGTCACACCTAGATATTGGCCACGTTGTAGTATAGTGGTAGTTCCATACGACTATCACTTCACGAGGCAACCATTGCTTGTTTCGAAAATTGGCCATGTTAGCAAAATGGCCCCTTTGAGAAGTGGGCGGAATTCGCAAAGCGGATTTTCCTCGATCATGGGAAAATATCCTGGAGCAAAATCGTTTGACCAGCTCAGATATCCACTCGACCACGCCGGGGACGTTTCAGGACTAACACCCGACATCAACACCCAACCGGCAAAAAACGAATACAGTGTCCTCCGCATCGGCCAAAGTCCAGTAGGGTGATCACACCTAGATATTGGCCACGTTGTAGCATAGTGGTAGTTCCATACGACTATCACTTCACGAGGCGACTCTTACGTGTTTCGAAAATTGGCCATGTTAGCCAAATGGCCCCTTTGAAAAGTGGGCGGAATTTCCAAAGCGGATTTTCCTCGATCATGGGAAAATATCCTGGAGAAAATTCGTTTGACCAGCTCAGATATCCACTCGACCATGCCGTGAACGTTTCAGTACTACCCCCTGACATAAACATCCAACCGACAAAACACAAATGCAGTGTCCTCCGCCTCTGTCAAAGTCCAGTAGGATGGTCACACCTAGATATTGGCCACGTTGTAGTATAGTGGTAGTTCCATACGACTATCACTTCACGAGGCAACCATTGCTTGTTTCGAAAATTGGCCATGTTAGCAAAATGGCCCCTTTGAGAAGTGGGCGGAATTTGCATTGTAGATTTCAGCGATGACTTATTTATTCTAGAGCGAACTTGTTCTCACCAGCTCAGGTATCAGGTCGAGCATGCCTAGACGACTAGTACGACCCCCTGACATCAGCATCCAACCGACAAAACACAAATTCAGANTCTTACGTGTTTCGAAAATTGGCCATGTCAGCCAAATGGCCCCTTTGAAAAGTGGGCGGATTTTCCAAAGCGGATTTCCCTCGATCATGGGAAAATATCCTGGAGAAAATTCGTTTGACCAGCTCAGATATCCACTCGACCATGCCGTGAACGTTTCAGTACTACCCCCTGACATAAACATCCAACCGACAAAACACAAATGCAGTGTCCTCCGCGTCGGCCAAAGTCCAGTAGGGTGGTCACACCTAGATATTGGCCACGTTCGAGTATAGCGGTAGTCCCATACGAGCATCACTTCACGAGGCAACCATTGCTTGTTTCGAAAATTGGCCATGTTAGCAAAATGGCCCCTTTGAGAAGTGGGCGGAATTTGCATTGTAGATTTCAGCGATGACTTATTTATTCTAGAGCGAACTTGTTCTCACCAGCTCAGGTATCAGGTCGAGCATGCCTAGACGACTAGTACGACCCCCTGACATCAGCATCCAACCGACAAAACACAAATTCAGAGTCCTCCGCCTCGGCCAAAGTCCAGTAGGGTGGTCACACCTAGAAATTGGCCACGTTGGAGTATAGCGGTAGTCCCATACGACTATCACTTCACGAGGCAACCATTGCGTGTTTCGAGAATTGGCCATGTTAGCAAAATGGCCCCTTTGAGAAGTGGGCGGAATTTCCAAAGTGGGATTTCCGCGATAATGGGGAAATATCCTGGAGAAAATTCGTTTGACCAGCTCAGATATCCACTCGACCATGCCGGGGACATTCCAGTACTACCACCCGACATCAACATCTAACCGACAAACGAAAAAATTCAGTGTCCTCCGCCTCGGCCAAAGTCCAGTAGGGTGGTCACACCTAGAAATTGGCCACGTTGGAGTCTAGCGGTAGTCCCATACGAGCATCACTTCACGAGGCGACTCTTGCGTGTTTCGAGAAATGGCCATTTTAGCAAAATGACCCCTTTGAGAAGTGGGCGGAAGTTGCACAGTGGATTTCAGCGATGGCTTATTTATTCTAGAGCGAACTTGTTCTCACCAGCTCAGGTATCAGGTCGAGCATGCCTAGACGACTAGTACTACCCGCTGACATAAACATCCAACCGACAAACGAAAAAATTCAGTGTCCTCCGCCTCGGCCAAAGTCCAGTAGGGTGGTCACACCTAGATATTGGCCACGTTCGAGTATAGCGGTAGTCCCATACGAGTATCACTTCACGAGGCGACTCTTACGTGTTTCGAAAATTGGCCATGTTAGCCAAATGGCCCCTTTGAAAAGTGGGCGGAATTTCCAAAGCGGATTTCCCTCGATCATGGGAAAATATCCTGGAGAAAATTCGTTTGACCAGCTCAGATATCCACTCGACCATGCCGTGAACGTTTCAGTACTACCCCCTGACATAAACATCCAACCGACAAAACACAAATGCAGTGTCCTCCGCGTCGGCCAAAGTCCAGTAGGGTGGTCACACCTAGATATTGGCCACGTTCGAGTATAGCGGTAGTCCCATACGAGCATCACTTCACGAGGCAACCATTGCTTGTTTCGAAAATTGGCCATGTTAGCAAAATGGCCCCTTTGAGAAGTGGGCGGAATTTGCATTGTAGATTTCAGCGATGACTTATTTATTCTAGAGCGAACTTGTTCTCACCAGCTCAGGTATCAGGTCGAGCATGCCTAGACGACTAGTACGACCCCCTGACATCAGCATCCAACCGACAAAACACAAATTCAGAGTCCTCCGCCTCGGCCAAAGTCCAGTAGGGTGGTCACACCTAGAAATTGGCCACGTTGGAGTCTAGCGGTAGTCCCATACGAGTATCACTTCACGAGGCAACCATTGCGTGTTTCGAGAATTGGCCATGTTAGCAAAATGGCCCCTTTGAGAAGTGGGCGGAATTTCCAAAGTGGGATTTCCGCGATAATGGGGAAATATCCTGGAGAAAATTCGTTTGACCAGCTCAGATATCCACTCGACCATGCCGGGGACATTCCAGTACTACCACCCGACATCAACATCTAACCGACAAACGAAAAAATTCAGTGTCCTCCGCCTCGGCCAAAGTCCAGTAGGGTGGTCACACCTAGAAATTGGCCACGTTGGAGTATAGCGGTAGTCCCATACGACTATCACTTCACGAGGCAACCATTGCGTGTTTCGAGAATTGGCCATGTTAGCAAAATGGCCCCTTTGAGAAGTGGGCGGAATTTCCAAAGTGGGATTTCCGCGATAATGGGGAAATATCCTGGAGAAAATTCGTTTGACCAGCTCAGATATCCACTCGACCATGCCGGGGACATTCCAGTACTACCACCCGACATCAACATCTAACCGACAAACGAAAAAATTCAGTGTCCTCCGCCTCGGCCAAAGTCCAGTAGGGTGGTCACACCTAGAAATTGGCCACGTTGGAGTCTAGCGGTAGTCCCATACGAGCATCACTTCACGAGGCGACTCTTGCGTGTTTCGAGAAATGGCCATTTTAGCAAAATGACCCCTTTGAGAAGTGGGCGGAAGTTGCACAGTGGATTTCAGCGATGGCTTATTTATTCTAGAGCGAACTTGTTCTCACCAGCTCAGGTATCAGGTCGAGCATGCCTAGACGACTAGTACTACCCACTGATATAAACATCCAACCGACAAACGAAAAAATTCAGTGTCCTCCGCCTCGGCCAAAGTCCAGTAGGGTGGTCACACCTAGATATTGGCCACGTTCGAGTATAGCGGTAGTTCCATACGACTATCACTTCACGAGGCGACTCTTACGTGTTTCGAAAATTGGCCATGTTAGCCTAATGGCCCCTTTGAGAAGTGGGCGGAAGTTGCACAGTGGATTTCAGCGATGGCTTATTTATTCTAGAGCGAATTTGTTCTCACCAGCTCAGGTATCAGGTCGAGCATGCCTAGACGACTAGTACTACCCACTGATATAAACATCCAACCGACAAACGAAAAAATTCAGTGTCCTCCGCCTCGGCCAAAGTCCAGTAGGGTGGTCACACCTAGATATTGGCCACGTTGGAGTATAGCGGTAGTCCCATACGAGCATCACTTCACGAGGCAACCATTGCTTGTTTCGAAAATTGGCCATGTTAGCAAAATGGCCCCTTTGAGAAGTGGGCGGAATTTCCAAAGTGGGATTTCCGCGATAATGGGGAAATATCCTGGAGAAAATTCGTTTGACCAGCTCAGATATCCACTCGACCATGCCGGGGACATTCCAGTACTACCACCCGACATCAACATCTAACCGACAAACGAAAAAATTCAGTGTCCT